CGCAAGATTTCGAATTCGAGGTTTACGAACGTGGAGATAACATCGGTGAGTGAAAATTGAATTCGTGTAATGTTTGCCTCGTTTGCGTGTTGATTGGAAAATATTTCGGACGATGTGGCGGCACAGATTTAACAATCGCAATCAACATGTAAACAAGGTTACATCGTAAATGGTATTAGGTATTATCAAGACTACATAATAGGGATTATGTACTCTCTATTATGTAGTCTTGGTATTATGCAATGCCTGTAAGTTACACCTGCTGCATTTCTCTTTCTCGTAAAAAATGTCTCAACTGATGAATCAAAAAGCAATCCCCTTGCCTCCAGATAGTCTCCGTCGGTGCAGTCGAGGCATTATCAATGTCACGTTCCCATCTCTTTCTTAATGAAGTCGGAGCTATATTCACCAACATTTTATGATAGGTTGTGTGTATAAAGTTATAAACATTCCGATTAACTGTTGCTTTTGGATTTACCAGTTGAGACATTTTTTATGAGAAAGAGAAATGCAGCAGGTGTAACTTACAGGCATTGCATAATACCAAGACTACATAATAGAGAGTACATAATCCCTATTATGTAGTCTTGATAATACCCAATAGCATTTACGATGTAACCTTGTTTACATGTTGATTGCGATTGTTAAATTTGTGCCGCCACATCGTCCGAAATATTTTCCTATTCGAGGAGAATCATAAAACAATAGTTAACACTGCTCATCTTTCGCTTGTCTAATCTATTTCAGGGGGTATGTGGTTGTACACAGACAAGACAGGGGTAGGTGAAAATGGCTACCCAGTACACTCAAGTATTTACAAGAACCTTATCTCTAACCTACCTACGCAGGCGATGGAGTACCCTGACTTTCCCTACCCTTCTGATCTTAAAGGAAAATTTCTTCCCTGGAAAAAGGTGAGTGTTTGAGGTTTAATGATAATAACAATCGCTGGTATAGCAATTAAACATTGTAAACTTTTGATGAAGATATTCAGTCACACATGAGTATGTGCAATTTTCCGATGAGGTTATGATAGAAATTTTATTAAACAAAATTTCTCGATACTTTACGCAGGTGCAAGACTACATTTTCTCCTATGCTGACCACTTCAACCTTCGCAAA